GGATGCTCCTGGGGAGAGGTGATGAGGGTGGGGGTGGGGCAGGGGGCTTGGAAAAGAAAAAAGAAATAATAAAATGTTATTTGAGATCATCTCTTCTTCTTGTCTCCCCAAGCCCAAGCCTCGTCACTCCCTCCCTCCTGTCTCTGTCCGTGCTCCCAGCACCCGGGCGGAGGCACAGTGCTGAATGTGCTAAATTAGGCCATTAGAGAAATTCATTTCTCTTTATTAGTCTGTGTCAAATCCTTTTTATTAGTGGCTGGAAACGACCTCTCTTCTGCAGTAAAATGTCATGCCAGTTCACTCCTTTTATTTGTTCTGCACTGACGAGGCTCAAACTCTCACTGAATTAGTGCAGTGAGATTTATTTCCTCCAAATTTTGAACGGCTTAAGAGAGATTGGGGTGGAGGGGGCGGTCACACGGAGGCAGCTTGCGGGGAGCAGAGCAGGGAAAGGATCTGGGAGGGGGAAGGTGAGCTCTCATAGAGGTCAAATGTCCTCAGCTCTTTGGAAATAAAGTCTAATGACCATCTCTCATATCTTGTGCATTGCCTTCTGGGCACTGGGGACTGAGTTTCTACATTCCTGCTTCTAGCCCCTGAAAGATGATGATCTACAGTGGAAGGTCCTGGACACCCAGAAAAGGAGCTCCCTGAAACTCATGATCTGGGCCTGGGGGTTGTAGCTCAGTGGTACAAAACTTGCCTAACATGGATGAGGCTCTGGATTCCATCCCCAGCATCACAGGGGAAAATATTCTTGTTGGACAAACTGAGGCTCTAGAAGGCCAAGGTCCCACAACTAATGGGAAATCAGAGAAGGGTATTCTTGGCTCAGGTGGCTTAAATGCCAGCTCTCATAGACCCTGCCCTATTCAGAGTGACCCCTGGGCCTTCCGCCAAGGCTGCTGGAAAAGACTCTTTGAGGGTGCCTGCTGGCCTCATCTCCATTTTATGTGGGATCCATTGGAGGGTAGCTTTAAAAATAAAGGTCAACCCTTAGGCAGGAACAGGGCAACAGGGGAGAAGGCAGATGACTCCCATAACTGGGTTGGGAACAGTCCTAGAGAAGTCCTACAGCTACAGCCTTGGAACTTAGCACATTGTCTCAGTAGTGCCAGTGCTTTAGGTGGCAGATGAGAAGGTAGCAGTCTGGGTTCATTTGAGTGATCTAGGAGGACAGGGAGTGGGAGCTATAGGCAGTCCCTCCTGGCCCTGGTATGGGTCATGTGGAAAATTGTGGATAAACTCAGACATCATATGATCTCCATGAGGCAGGTGGGATTCCTGGGATGGGTGGAGGAAGCTGGCACAGAAGCATGGGGTATGAGAAGAGAGCACCTGCCCAATCCTCAGGTAAGGAAGGCTGGACAGATGTGGCCAGGCAACCTCCATCAAGTCCACCCTATGCTCCATGGTTGGTTAACTTGGGGGAAAGAACAGGTGGCATGTTCCCTTCTGAGAAATAGGAGAAGCCTTAGATGACACTACAGGGAGGCTGGGGGCATTGCTCAGTGGTAGAGCACTTGACTAGTTTGTGTGCGGCCCTGGACTCCATCCCCAGCACTGAAAAAAATAAAATAAAAAACCAGATCTGCCCTCTCATTTGCCCATTCTGGGAGAGGGAGATCTGACACCTGTGGGTAGAAGAGGTTTCTAACACAGACCCATCCCTGACCCTGCACAGAAGGTGCACATTGTTCCCCAGTGTGTGTGAGAGCACCTCCTACCTCATCCCACAAGCCCAGCTCCACCTGAGTCTTTCCAAGCACTGGACTCTGCTGCCTTTTCAAACTTGTTTTCCGTTCCTACTACCTCACTCACCTAGATTATCTTCCCAAAGCATACTGGGCTTATTCCTATCTCAAGTGCTTTCTTTGCTTTTCCTCCTGCTTAGAATGCCTGTCCCTCAGTTCTTTGCATGACTGCCCCCTCATCATTTGAGGCTTAACTTAAAATGTCACCTCCTCAGAGAGGCCCTCTCAGACCACTTCTTCCTTATGGGAGGCAAGGACAGAAACAGAAGAGATATTCCCCTCTCCCCACCCCTAGTTCTCCTAGCTGGGATGATTCTAATCATAGCAGACCACACCTGCCCACCCCACATGCCACTCACATGGTGTATACAGGAACACACAACCACACATACACAAGGCATACAGATAATGCACAGAACGCACGTACACATGGTATTTGTGGCACACAAAATCGACCCCCCTGTTGCATATATGCAATACCACATGCATACCTCCTGCACAAACACAATACCATGGGTGCACACGGTGAAAACACACCGGGAGGTACATGACACTCCTATCCTTGTTCTATCAGCAGTCTGCTTTCAACACCAGTGCACACATGTGCACACATGTGTACACATACACACACATACACATGCATGCACACCCCATCACCTCTCTACCCAGCGGCTGTGCACCCTCCCTCCAGTCAGTGAGAAAGGAATGTGCAGTGACCGCGGCTGCCGTGGGTTGGGGCAGGGGCTGCACCCCCACCACCTGGCACGATGCTGCGGATTATTAGTTCCTGGTAATTTAGTGCCCTTGTACAGAGTCGATTTGTGCCTTTCATTCCTAATTGATCTAGTGGCTGTTTAAATGGCAGCAGGCATCTGTTGAGAGTAGGAAGGTTCATAAGGCGCAATAATTCATAACACCGTCTGGAATTTGCCTTTCATGGCCCTCAGCTAAACCACTGCAGGGCTCTGCTTAAATTACAGCCACTGAGGCTTTCTTTGGTATTCCACTCAGGGCCAGGAGAATCTTGCATTAAACTGGGATCAGGTTAGATTAGACTATAATATGCTGCAGTATTAGTGGCTGCAAATGAAGACTTATACTGGAGTTTAACCCCTTCACCTGGTGTTCTCTTTGTCTTCAGCCAGATGGCTAAACTCACCCATTGTTTTTCCCTGCCAGCTTTCTACCAGGGCTCAATAGATCTTCTGGTAATTTGAGGCTGCAGATGAGCCACCCTTAAATATTGACCCTCTTTCCCTACAGACTGTACATCTAACCTGCAGCCTTGAAGCCCAGGAATTTATGCATCAGCTCCCCAAACAAGGGTTAGGGAGACAGTGTCTGAGGGCAGCCTCTGCCAAGCCTAGCAATTCATGTGAAGTGGGAATTTATCTTTTTTCATCTCCCATCTTCCCTGAGCCTGAGTAGAAAAACCCATACAGTGTGAGAATGAGCAGCAGTGGGGGTAACCACTATATGTCTTTTGTCCAGGATTGTAAGAATTCTGGAAGGGGACAGGAACTTGGGGGTTTCCCTACTCACTTACAAATGCTGTGAATACTGTGTAGGCTGTATATTCAATTCTTTCTCAGTGCGTCTAATTGTAGTGTGCCAGAGGGGAAAAGCATTATCTGTTTTCCTTTTCAGACCTTAACTGTGTCCTTCAATATGGTAGCCACTAGCCACATGTGGCTATTTAAATTTAAATTAATTAAAATTCAATAAAATAAAAAATTAAGCATCCTAGTTGCAATAGTCATATTTCAAGTATTCATTGGCCTCATGTGGCTAGTGGTTACTGTATTGGACAGTGCAGATTACAGAACATTTCCATCACTGTAGAAAGTTCTATTGGACAGTGATGGTTACAGCATTCCCTCTGGAAGAGACCCCAGGGGTCAGGTACAGTACACATTCCTTCTCTCCCAGCAAGCAGGGCTGCATCAAAAAGAAAACTGCATTTCATGGTCCCAGGAGTCTGAGGAGACAGACCAGAGACTGATGTGTGAATGCTTTTTTTGGAACTGTAGGGAAAGAGAACGGGGCTCTCCAGAGTTCAGGGTCAACAACCCAGGCACTAGCATGCAATATGCTGCAGAAATAAATGTGATATGCACTTATGCATGCAAAATAAGTATGTATACATATATATATTCAACGAATATTTGTGGAGATCCACATACCTCTACTTGACTCTAGATGAATAAGGTGCGCTTGATTCCTGCTCACAGTCTAAGTGAGAAAGGAAGATGATAAAACAAACAACTTAGAAACAATCAGCATTTGGAGGAAGTCAAAGATCTGGTGATCTCTAAGATGACACCCACATAGTCATTTAGGTAAGGAGTTCAGCTCACACATATACTTCACAGAAACATGCCCACACATGATCGCACGCACGCGCACACACACACACACACACACACACACAGAGTGCATTCATTGATTCATTCAGTCACCTAGTATTTATATGTACTTGCTTTGACAAGATCTAGGGATACAACAATCATTAACACAGGGACAGCCTTGGAGGCGAACAGTGAACACATAATGATGCAAATAATCATTTAATTAACACTGAGCTAAGAGTAGGATGACGGAAAAGTGCAGGGTTGATGTTATTCATATAATTGGGATATCTGACCTAAACCGAGCCTGCCAACAGACACTGGACAGGTGGAGACATCTGCCTACCGTGTAGGCAAGTATTTGGGCTCATGCACATCCCCCACATACAAGTGCTTGTACACATCTGCTGTCCTCAGTTGCTCTAGATATTGTGTGTGTATGTGTGTGTTTCTATGATGTATATATGTGAACTGAAATACTTACTTAAATGACTCTATGAGTCTTAGCTGGGATATCACCTACGGATGTTCACATCGTGGATTTCTCTGAATATTTCCCATATTTCTTTCTTGGGTCAACTCTGAATCAGAAATAGACACTTACTTCTTTGAAGGGTTATAACTGCTCATCCCTCTTCAAACATCCGTGTAGTTTATCTATCTAAAGAGAAAAGGTAGGAGCCCTCTGACGTCCCAGGTACTAGGGGACTGAACCCTCTATGCCAGGGCACAAACATTGCCATTAGGTTGACCCTGGGGGCTGGGGACATTCTCAAGGAGTGGGACCTGGGGAGAAGAAGTGATGGGAATGTGGGAAAAGGAACCAGATGGCTTCTGAGCCCAGCCAGCAGCACGGTCTCTGTGTGTGCGCATGTGTGAGTTCTTGATGTCCCCGCAGGCACCCTCTTTTCCCGCTCCTGACGCTGCTGTTTGAGAAATGTGAACAGGCCACCCAGGGCTCTGAGTGCATCACCTCCGCCAGCTTTGATGTGGACATCGAGAACTTTGTCCACCAGCAGGAGCAGGAGCACAAACCCTTCTTCAGCGATGATCCAGAACTGGACAATCTGGTAAAGACCCTCCACCCCACACCCTGGCTAGAATCTCCTACCCTTTGGTCCCCCTAAAATACCCTGGAAATGTTCCTTTTGTTAATTTATTCAACAAAATATTTTTAGTCCCCACCATGGGACACTAGATGCATCATATTAGCAGCTGAGAACCATGTCTAAGTTCTTATATCACGAGCTTCAGGAGCTGGCCCTGCTGCCCAACTCCCTCCTGTCTCTGCCCATGGTGGCACCAGAATCTTACTCCCCACCATCCTGCAGAACCAGCCAACTGAAAGGAGGGTGTGAACTCTAAGGTAGCTGCCCCAGGCCTGGAGTCCTCCTAGAGAGGAACTGATGCCTCGGATGCTACTGGGTAGAGAATGAGAGTCACAAGCATGTTCAAGCACATCAACAGAAAGAGCTGGGGACCCGGTCATCCTAAGAAGATCAGCAGAGAGGCCCCACCTGCTTAGGGGACACAGCAGATCAGGTTCTCCACCAGTTTGCCACTCAGATCATCACTATAGTTTACAAAAAATACATTGCTAGGCCATATCAGGGAGCTTTTGTAAGATCAGTGGGATCTTTGTGAATTTTCATTTTAGGTTTCCTAAGCAACAGCAATCACCAGTTAGGTTTGGTGGCCCCCAACCTGTATGGCATCTGAAATTCTCCTCTGTCCTTGGGAATTCTGCTGCAGGAAGACATTAGAGAGGCTGCTCTGTGTGTCCATCACTCTAAATAGTCCTCCTGGAATTATTAACCACAGTTCCTAATTTTTCTGTGGGTGGATTGCCCAGAGTATGCATGGTGAATTTGGAAACTCTGCAAAACTCTCCCTCATACATTGATTGATGATAGTGCTGACCTCTTGCACCCAGCATTTAACTGGTACCTGTTCCAAAAAGGAGAACAGAATTAGAAAAGCAAATGTGACTCCAAAAAGGAAGGAAGAAAAATTACACACACGTGCGGGCACACACACCTACATGCATAGTACATCTGCAGAACAGATGTAAAGGACTTTGTTATTATTCTGTGCTGTGAATTATCCACACTGCTGTTTCAGGGTTGAGTGTGGTCCTTTATGAAGTCCAGAAGAGTTACCAAGAGAACCCACCCTGGTCTGCAAATTTGTGATGTTGGATAAGGCTATTTAGAGATCAGGAGCAGGCCCCGAGCAGAGGATAAGCACTGCCCACTGTCAAGAATGTTGGTGGAGGCAGTGAGAGCCCCAAATCCACCTCTGCTAGTCCCTGACACTTGCTCTTCTCTGGCTTTGATTGAGCAGCCCCACTTCCCAAAAGGCCGGGCTGCTATTTTGGAATCCTCTGGGAAAGCTTCCCTTTACAGGTTCACCAATTGGCCAACTATTAAGTGCAGGCTGGTCTGGCTTGCCTTGCTCCTCGGCTAATCAGAATCAGACTATAACTGGGAAGCAGATTTGTAGAACCCAGACCCAGGCAGCCATGGAGCCAGGACATGAGGCAGTCACTTCTGCAGGAGTGAGAGTGAACCTGGGGACCAGGATCGTCGTCCTCACTTGACACAAAAAGATACTGGTGTAGCGGAACATGGTGGCACATCGCGGTGATCCCAGTGACTTGGGAGATTCAGGCAGGAGGATCTCAAATTTGAGACCAGCCTCAGCATCTTTACAATTTAGTGACACCCTCTCAAAAATAAATAAGGATTGGGGACATAGTTCAGTGGTAAAGCCCTCCAGGTTTAATCATCAATAAGAAAGAAAGAAGAAAAAAAAAAGAAAGAAAGAAAAATAGCAGCTTGGAAGGCTGAAGCAGGAGAATTGCAGGTTTGAAGCTAACCTCGGCAATTTAGTGAGACTGTAAGCAATCTAGTGAAACCCTATCTCAAAGTAAGAAAAATTAAGTTTAAAAAATTTTTTAAATTTGTTCTAATTTGTTATACATGACAATAGAATGCATTTTGACACATACATAAATGGAGTATAACTTCTCATTCTTCTGGTTGTACATGATGTAGAATCACACCAGTCATGTGATCATATATGTATGTAGCTTCTGTCATTCCTACCCCCACACACCTCCTCCTTTCACTAACCTCTGCCTAATCCAAAGTACCTCTATTTTTCCCTAGCCCACCTCCTTATTGTGGGTTAGCATCTACATATCAGAGAGAGCATTTGGCTTTTGGGGTTTTTTTTGGACTGGCTTATTTCTCTTAGCATGATAGTCTCCAGTTCCATCCATTTACCAGCAAATGCCATAATTCCATTCTTATTTAAGGCTGAGTAATATTCCATTGTGTATATATACCACATTTTCTTTATCCATTCATCTGTTGAAGAGCATCTAGGTTGGTTCCATATTTTGGCAATTGTGAATTGAGCTGTTATAAACAGTGATGTGGCTATGTCACTGTAGTATGCTGATTTTAAGTCCTTTGAGTATAAACCAAAGGGTAGAATAGCTGGTTCAAATTCCATTCCAAATTTTCTGAGGAATCTCCATACTGCTTTCCATAATGGTTGCACCAATTTATAGTCCCACCAGGAGTGTATGAGTGTACCTTTCCCCCCACATCCTCATCAACTTTATTGTTGCTTGTATTCTTGATAATTGGCCCCCCCCAAAATTTAAAAGGGCTGGGGATGTGGCTCAGTGGTTAAGCACCCCTGGTAGGCAA